ATTATGATTAAATATAATTCTATTATTATTTTTTATTTTAATGAAGTTTAAAATATTTAAATTATTTCTAAATATTTTGAAATGTTTTGCATTCTTCTAATAATTTTTAAATTTATTTCACCTTATTTGCTCTTCACATATTTAGATAATTCTTTCACTATATTTCGAAATATTTTCACTACACAATAATTTCGAAAAATTATTTTGCAATATTTTAAAAGAATTTGCATAGTACAATAATTTCAAAATTTATTTTACAATATTTTGAAATATTTTGCATTTTGCAAAAATTTCAAAATATCTTTTGCATTATTTTGAAATTTTTGTGCTATGCAAATTCTTTTGAAATATTTTGCATCTATAATTTTGCTAATGCTAAATTATATGAACCAGATAGAAAAACAAAAGCTCAGTTGGAAGACCCAAATAGAAAGATAATCTAAACTTTCAACAATGTTACTGTAAAGACTAAACTTATAAAACAGAACTAGAATTTGTGAAACTAAGCAAATGTGCCAGTCTTTAAGAAAAAACTAGATGAACCAACTAGGCTGCTGAAATTTCTAGATTTCAGAAAAAAAAGAATACATGCTGACAAACATATAAATCAGAGATATATGGTTTCAATCTACCTTTTTAGACTATTTGGAATAGCAGCTTGGTAAAACTTAAATCAAATACCAAAGTAGTAAGAATATGTTGTAAAGTTAGTATTAAGATTGGATGAACTTTATAAGAGCATAGCAGTTTAATAGTATGCCCTAACTACTAGTATTAGTCTCAACCATAATGATATCAGGTCAGCTATAAAAATAGAATACAGAAGATTCTGAAAGGTTTAGTACAAGGTTAAAGGTTTTAAAGAACTGCTTTAAAAACTTAGTATTCATGACATATTTTTATAAGCATTGATCAGAATCATTAGTAGACAGAGGTAGATAAGTAGATATAAAAACTAAAGTAGTTAAATAAAGAACCTATAAGCAGGTTCTAGGTATAGCAGCTAGTATAAAACCTTCAAGCAAACTACTTAAATTAGACAATGACTAAAATTGTATAAGTGACTAGTTGTATACTCTTTTTATAATTGTTTTCTGTAGTTGTAATGTAACCATTAGTCAAATATATTATCAATAAAATTCTAGATTGCAAGTATTCACTTTAATATTTAAAAAAAAAAATAAAATTATAAGTAATTTTAATTTATATTTTTATTTAAAAAAATATTCAAAAATGTTTTTTTTTTTGATTTTGCTAAAGTTATAATTATCAGCACCTACTACCTTTATTATATTTTAATTATAGTTATATAACTTGTATAAGGTAAGTATACAACTAGCTGCTTATACAACTTTTGGTTGTCTAATTTAAGTAGTCCACCTGCATAACAAGTTCTATACTAGCTGCTATATCTGCAATCTACTAGGAAATTACTTATTTTAAATACTCTGATCTCTATATTACACTAACAAATAACACACAAGTTCCTGTACACCTATATTAGGTGCTATTTAACCTTACCTTGGCCTTTCTTTCTGTACATTCATCAAGCTGTTATATATTTTAAAGTATATCACCTAACTGTAAAGCTTAAGAGTGCCTTCTTGCTAACTAATTATCTATGTTTAATCCTTATTAACAGAGCTTGCCCTTGCATAGTTCACTTAGATACCAGTATCAACTTTACAGCATATCTCTAGTACTTATAATATATTTCTGTTTCTAATCCCAAACTTCTAATCCAGATAGCCCAAAAGGACTATAACCTGTCTCTAATATCTTAGAATCTGTTTTTCAAGATTCTTTTTCTCTAATTCAAAGCTTCTAATAGTCTGATTGGTAGTACCTCTTACCCAAGGTTCTTGTTTACCTGATTTCTTCCATATTAGTATTTATTTTCTAGGTCTAATCTTTACAATAATACTGTTAAAGATCTGTGCTACTTTTTTACTCAGGTCTTTCTAGATGGGTTTTGGCTTCTTAGTTCATGGGTTTATACAGCCATAAGAACTTATCTTGAGTTTGTACTGTCTAATGCTAATTTGCATTCTTCTGTATAACTTTAATATTGCACAGATGCCCTATGACCTACCAGTTATACTAGTATGACTGTGTTACAGGTATCTTATTCTAACTACCATAAAGTTCTGAATATAAGCAACCCCTGAAAATAAGCAATACCCTGCATTTCGAGATAAAAATGCTAGAAAAATAAAATAAGCAACCCCTTTTTTAAAAATTACTAAATATGTATACTGTATATAAAATTTATTATAAATTTTATTAATTTCAATTCAAATTTTTTACAAAAAAATTAATTTAATCTTCTAGTTCTTCAGCAGATAAACTATCTTCTTCAACTACCTCAAACAAATCTTCATTATCATCGATTTCACTATTCTTTTGATTTGAATTATATAATAAATTGTCTTCTGTCCCATCTAATTCATTAGAAATACCATATTTTTTAAATGATTTAATAATTATTTCTGCAAAAATATCATCCCACGCTTCTAAAATCTATTAGCAAATTAAACTATATGATGGTCGTTTTAAATTTCCTTTCTTAGTTAACTGAAATTCACCATTACTCATCCACAAACACCATTTTTCCTTTAATCGGTCTTTAAATGATTTATTAATACTCACATTTAAAGGTTGTATGATTGATGTTAAACCTCTCGGAATAATAGCTTTATGAATATTATTAACTGCACATTTATTTTTTACAATATCAGTAAGATGTCCTTCGAATGAATCCATTACAAGCAAAGACAAAGGTTTGTTTACAATTGATGCTCCAGGTCGCTTGTTCCAAACTTGGTCAATCCATTCGCTCATTAAATTTTCGTCCATCCAGGCACTTTCATGCATACATACAACAATGCCACAAGGCAGATTAGAGGGAATTCGTACACCTTTAAAAATTACCATGGGAGGGAGTTTGTTATCATTTGCCGTAATTGCCAAAACACAAATAAACCGGTTTTTCATTTCCAGTTGTTCTAATTTGAACCGTTTTAGTACCTTTATTATTAATTGTATAAGAACTTGTCATGTCAAAATAAACAGGTGTTTCATCCATGTTTATGATTTGAGAAAGATCATACTGATATTTTAATCAAGCTTGAATTACAAATTTATGAAATTCATTTATTTTTTCAGTGAGATCTTCAGGTAACTTTTGGCTAATTTTAGTACAATAGTGAAGAGAAAGTTGGTGTCATTTTAAAAACCAGTAAAACCAAGATTTGGATGCATGAAATTGTTGTGCAGCACCCGAATATTTATCTGCACAAGTTGTTGATAAAATTGTATATATTTGCATTTTAATAAAACCTGATGTTACTGCAATTCCTATTTGTCGAAGTTCATTTAACCATTTAATAAGCTCTTTTTCAGCAGTTGGGTAAAATGAAGTTCTTCCTGCACTAACACATTGGTTACCAAATACAACATTATTAAATTTTTTTTCATTATTCTTTCATCGTAATACTATAGACTGATCAATACCAAAGCGACATGAAGCAGCCAAAACACCAATCTGTTTTGCTTCTTGAATAACAGTAAGTTTTTCTGATATCTTATAAGAAGTTCTTTGAACATGACTTCTAACTTTAACTGCCTTGTTATTGCTGATAACAGTATTCATTTTTTTTTT